TATTTGGTTCATTTACTCTTCTGAATTGTGAAATCTGTTAAGTTGTTGGACTGTAAAATCTGATTGTGGATTTTAAGAAAAACATGATATGTGAGTGCACTCTGAAATAACAACTGGTCAAGAGTGTACTATATATATTTTTAACCTCTTCCGGCTGGCTGAATCTAATTGACTAGAAATTCTGCTTCTCTTCTAGTCTGGATAATAAATGAGAAAAAGGAGAACAAGAAGCATGTGTTCCCTCGTGGTCTTCCTCCCACAGGACAGCCCAGTAGTACGGTTTGGCGGGTAGGGGAGGAAACTTTTGACCTAACTAAATTCATTATTTTTTCTCCAACACAACAAATGCTCTCTCTGCATGCCAACTTTCATGTTTCCCCCTAACAACCCCACCCCCTTAAAGAGAGAGAGAGAGATAAACAGAAGGCCAGGTCTCCGCCAATTTTGGACTGATCAGGACTACTTTGATCCTTTAAACTAGCTTACCATTTTGCCAATATAAGTCGTGGTTTGGTCAATCCAAAGATTTTTTGTTTTGTTTGTGCAATTAGTGGGATTTTGAATTTGGGATATCACCCATGATTATTGAGGTCGGAAGTACAATAATTATTAGGAGGATGGAATTTATTGGGGGTTTTTTTTTTTGGCGCATTAAGTGACAGTTTTCTTAAGAGGGGAAATGACCTTTTGTATGTTCTTCATATTGAAATCATATGCTCCTCGTATTTTACCCATATATGTGAGCTCTGTATAAGTATAATATATATGTGTGTCTATACATATATACACACGTATATATATATATAAATATTTGATTTTGTGTATGCTGGGTGTATGCAGTTTGTGATGGAAGAATTAAAGTGGGTGAAAGTACGTATAATATTTATTCTTTTGGCTCATGAATATATAAGTATAATATATATGTGTGTCTATACATATATACATAGTGTATGCAGTTTGTGATGGAAGAATTAAAGTAGGTGAAAGTACGTATAATATTTATTCTTTTCGCCCATGGCTAGCAATAGTGAAGGCAAAGCAGGATAGGGAGACATGATATGAAATATGGTACTGCCTTTGGTCGGCTTATGTAAAAGTGACACGAATAATGTCGTATTTATCATTAATAATCTTGACTTACAATCACACTACGTTCATTAGCATTTCCAGAGAAGATAGTATAATATATATCTTGCTTAGGGGGTTAAAATAATTGCTTGTATTTAGGATGCGTAAATACTAGTTTTAGAAACTCGTGAATGTTATACTCATGAAGTATAAAATAAGACAATTGTACTCAACATAATTTCCTTAATTGACTTAGACGAAAATGCCTAAAACCTAGGTAGTTGTAACTTGTACACCTCTACGTTATAAAAAGAGGAAGAAAAATATTGGCGGGGAAAAGATGAGGAAGTACATAAACGAAAGAAAAAGCAAGAGCATAGAAAAAGAGGGTTGAAATTGGAGGGGGAGATGATTGTTATAGATGGGACATGATGATCGGAGATGGGAAACAAAATCATTAAGCATGAACATGACATGTAATTATGTGCCATGAGAGTGTGTGTTCCACTTTTTAATTTTTTTAAGTTTCACATCCCTTTGCTATAATAGCTCCTTTCTCCAATCTATTAATAAATTCGTACCATCACCACGCATTTCTGAAGCAAATATATATATATATATATACACACATATATATATATATGTATATATGTGTATATCATACACATATATATTCCCCAAATAGGCAGGCTCTGAGGTAATTGTAATTGTGGCCCTTTATGTCGCAAGTATTTTCAGTTTTGTCCCCTAAAGATATATGACGCGTTTGAAACTCATTTTAAAATGATTTTATTTTTTATATGAAAATGAAAATGAAAACGTTTTCAATCTCAGACAGAAATCATTTTTAAAAATGGGTTTGATAGTTTTATCAAGAGATTATTTTTAGTGTAAAAAAATCCATTAATGTCTCTCTTTCTCTTTTTCTGCTCGAGAGAGGAGAAAACGGAAATAAAAAATGAAAAACGACTAAAAGTCATTTTTTATTTCTCTTTTATTTTACACTAAACTAAAAAATCATTTTTGTTTTCTTTTTTTGTCTTTATTACGCCAAACGCCGTTTTGAAAATGTTTTTATTTTTTCTTTCTTGAAAAACATAAAAAATAAAAACGGGATGAATTCTAAACACGGCTGTAGAGAACTAGGATGAAAAGTAAGGAGAACGAGCCACCCAATGGGGCAATTGTAAAAATATTCCAGAATCAGGCTGGGGGAATTTGCAATTGAACTAAAATCGCTGGGTGAAAAAAAAAGTGAAAGAAATTAACTTACCAAAAAGAAAAGCAGCATGGTTTGTTGTGGTCCTAAAAAGCTCTTTTTATCATGTGCGGGAACCAAGATGCGGTGAAATCCAAGCAATCCGATTGGGTCCCTTTCACTTTCCAGTCTAGACACAGAACGGCACTGATCAATATCGTCGTTTTATCATAATATCTGGGAGATTAATGAGATGATGATATGTATTCATTCATATGTAAATCAGCTACGAGAAAAACAAATCATCTCTAATAATTTGTTTTTTTTTTTTTCTTTTTCATTGTTTTAATACGAAAAAGAAGTAACATGAATTAATAGTCATCAAATCTTATCAGAAGAAGTAAGCCCAACCTGGCCCTCCATATTTAACGGTTGGGAATCCAAAGTGAAATTGCAAATGTTGTAACATATATAAAATGGCTTCCAGAAGATGAAAATGGCGAGCAAAAGGGGGACCCATGTGAGGACAGCTGATATAATGCGGCCAAGGCAGCCTTTCAGAGCAACATAGTGGACTGTCTTCTCTGCAATCTTGTTTTAGATTTCTTGATCGGATCTGATCATGATCATCAAGCTTGGTAAATAAGTATGAGGTGTGGCACCTATATATTAATTGCTCTGGGAAATAATTTCATATTTTGGATTTTGGTACTAGACTTGATCATCTCAAAAGAAAAGGTGGGGGGAGTAAATTATAAATTAAGATAACTTAATTAGTGAGTTCAATTATTACATAAATTTGGTTATAATATGTTATGTTATCTAAAGAGCCAAACCATAAGTATTCTTTTATGAGCAAGAAATGTGCATTGCATTTGGTCTGACATTTTGGTTCTTAGATTGCAAATTAACTAACTCCCTATTATTTAAAAAAATAAATATAGTCTATGGAGGATAATTATCAAGTTTGTTCTCCAGCACACTTGTCAGTTTTTAGTGATAATATGTTTGTATTTACAGATTAAATAACTGCAAGAGTGCCAGTTATATTAAGTTTAACTCTAAACTAAAATGGGTTAGTTATTGATTTTAAAAATAAAAAAAGAAAAAGAAAAAGAAATGGATTAGTGTTGTTTCTTTTTTTTTTTTTTTTTGGGTGCAACAAAATGGTTTAGTTATTGAAGCTTCAGTTCACGTACCGAATCTAAATTGAGTAAAATTTCGAAGGAATAAATACAAAGTACTGTATTGTACAATGAATTTCAAAATAGATCTAGATGACGTCAGATGTTTGTCTGACCAAGTTAAGATAATAAAAAATCATTGAATGAGAGACACATTACATTTCTATATGCCCTAGATGTGATATTTAAATTGACATTTGAATTTCAAAAAGTGCAAGGGTTATGCAAAGGAAAAAAAAAAAAAAGTGTAAGGGTATCCAACGCTTATCTAACCATGTCACCAATACAATTGCAAGGAAACAAAAGATTATAAAAGGAAGAAGTTTATCTAATCCACCTAAAATAGTACTCGATAGATTGAAATTCACATTGTTTTTTATGAAAGAAATTTACATTATTAAGAAAAACAAAAAAGAAAACTTTTGACCAATGTCCACTTATTTCAATATTGAAATAATGAAATAAAATACCATTGGCAAACATGGGCAGTTGTGAAATCTGAAACATACCATTTGTCCATCGCGAAAAAGACTAAATTAGCTATTGACTTAAACGTCTGCATGATGCAGCAATTTGGCCATGCATGGTGGTGGTTGATTTATTAAAAACAACATCAATATTTAATTTCAAATATATATATATATATATATATATCAGACAAAAAATAGACAGTGTATTTGTTACCGCCGAACGCATAAAATATTAGCCAACTTTCGCAAGCATCCAACAAGAAAATTTTCTGAAGAAAACTCCAAACTAGTTCCTCTTTTTGGTTGGGAAGAAATGAAAATAAATTCTAGGAATTATTATTCTTTTTTTCGTTTCTTTCTTTCTTTTAAAAAAAAGAAAATTACACAAATATCCGGGACCGGTGAGTTTAATAATTGTCTCAAGATATCTCGCGAGATATTAGAACATGAGACTAAAAAAAAACATGCACGTTATCACCAAATGGGTTTTCTCCGTAGTAAACCACGTGCATTGGTGCATCAAAGTTCGTAGAAAACAGAGAAAAAGCGACTGCCCTAGCTAAACGAGATTTTCTAGTTAGTTTAATGGCTGACTCTTAAAGAGTGAAAAATAGCTCAGAATTAATCCCCCACTCTCTTAGCTAGCTAGAGAGAGAAAAATAGAGAGAGGAGAGAGAAAATCACACGCAGACACTACAGACACAGAGATATATCTTGCGGGATGCTGTGTGTGTATATTTGCTGCATCGGATCCTTCGCCGAAGTGGGTTTTCAAAAACAGTTTAATTCCTCTCTCTCTCTCTCTCTCTCTTTCTCTCATCAAGAACATCTTGAGGGCTAAAGTCCAAACACGCGAGAGACTCACTAACCAACACAAAAAAAAAAAAGGTGGAGAATTTTGATGATTGTAATGTTTTGCACACCCAACATTATACTTCTCTCTCAGCTAAATATGATCATTTTCAAGATTCCCTTAAATTCCTAGGCTTCTTAATTACTTTTCCGCAAGTCTAGTAACACTACTTTAGAATCTTGTGCTTGTAGTTTCTTCTTAATTTATTCTCATAAAATTCTCGTTGTTGTTCTTGTTTGGTCTTTCCTCAATGTACTACTCTAAACTAAAGTCAATTTCATTGATCAGGCCCAATAATAATAACAATAATTCTGAGAATATGCTTCTCTCCGAAAAAGACCTCAATGCAGTGGAATTCAATTTCTTGGTAAGACCCACGTTGGAATTCAAGCATGATCATCACTGCCAAATTTCACTTTCATCATCATCATCATCAGAAGAAGAAGAAGACGACGTTCATGATCGGAAGCAAGAAGAGGAGGACAGAAAAAAAGAAGATAAATTCGACATGTTGGTTTCGACTTTGAAGCTCAAAATCCCATCTCCAGATCAAGAATTCAGAGTACTAGAAGATCAGGAAAATCATGTCGGAGTTGTCGACGGGTTCAAGACTCCAACTTCTTTGGACCACAAGATCCCGGCGACCCTCAAATGCCCGCCGGCGCCGAGAAAACCCAAGTCGCTCCCGTCGACGAAGCGGAGATTGCCGATCAGCCGCCGCCGGGTGCTTCTTGATCTGACGAGTGAGATTGAGTCGTTGTTTCCTCCGGCAATTCTTGCGGATCTTGGTGGTAAAATTAAGAAAGTTAGACAAGCTGGGAGTGGAAATATTTTATAATAATGGCCGATTTCAATCATACGTATGTATGTTATTATGTGAAATACTAAAAGAATTTATCTTCTTTTTTTTTTCTTCCTTTCATTTTATGATGGCTATATATATATATATATATATGTGGTATATGTTTCCACATGATCAGATTATGTCATCCTCCCTATGACATGTTATTGACATTAATATCGGCGTTATTAATCCGAATGATCTTTTTTTTTTTCCTGATCTTAATATCTAAATTTCAACTTTTGTTCAGTTTTAGCATTTAGTACTAATCTTGTTTTCTTCTCTTCTTCTTCTTCTTCTTGTCTTCTGGTTTTCTTTTAGAATTGAGATCCAGTTAGTCATGTTGTATTTGATATTAATTGGCAATATAAATCCAGATCTGAAATATGTGATTTGATCTGTCTGTGCAAGAGATCTGACGTCAATTCTATAGTACAAAGCTAATTTACGATGCATATAATACAGTACCCTTCAGGTCTCTTTCTCCCTCTCTGTCCTTGTTTGGATCTGTTTAATGCATTTATTTTCTTTGTTCATGAGATCAAATGAAATTGGCCTGCGAGAGCAGTGACTTTCTCGAATATGCAAAAAGAAAAAAAACCTCGAATATTACCGTTGTGCCAGTATGGGGTGAGCAAATCAACCCATGAGCATGAAGCATATTATAATATGCAAGCTACAAAATAATTGAAATTTCATTGCACAAAAAAGTAATAGTAATTTTAATTTCCCAACAGTTATAATTATAAATCAAGTGATCTCCGATTGTTGAAATGTTTAACTGACATAATTTATTGTAACGCCTCTAATTGTGGGGTTATACAATTTTAATAAAATAACGGGAAACAATGAAATGAAATTATAAAATATAAATCTGAATGTTCATAAGAAAGTGCCCATGGGACTTTAAAAGATAATTCTAAATAAAACATCACATCGACAGATATAGTAATACTAAAAATCTACAGTACAGTGTAGCACCAATTAAAATATAAATAGTACGATCATCATCGGTTAATCCCAATCAACAGATAATTAACACAATTAGAGTTTGGAAAGTCTTACATAATCAAAAGGAACAATCTAAGAAGCTACAATAAACATCTACACGTCACATACAGCTGGGTTTCACTCCTCATCAGATAGGTTACATTGCACTCCGTCTAAGAAGTAAAAATAAAAAGGTGAGCATAAAATGTCCAGTTGCATAACCATTACTTACATTTTTGGTTTTATTAATTTACCGTATTAAAATATGCATAGTTAGTGTTGACGGTCGATTTTCGTTAACAGTATTCTAACGGGTTACCCCTTGGTCACCCACGGAGTTACTGATTAGAGCGTTGTATTTAACTAAATATTCTAGTAAAGGTGTTTATGCAATCAGTGTATGGCCATGGATATTTGATGTGGTACTTGAATAAATGTAAAGAAAAGGGCACACAAGTTTATAGTGGTTCACCCTTATATAAAAAGAGTTACATCTACTGTATTATATTAATCTCGTGTTCTTCAGGATTTACATAAACATGTAGAGAAAAAACCCTCTTCGTGTGTCTATGGGGCTTTGCTCCCTTTTATAGCCCGTGGATTGTCTTTGGGTTCCTTTAGATGGGCGGTCGCAAGGAGTTACATGATGGCTTTCCTTAGATAACCTGTCACTCTATAAGGCTAGACTAGACTTTTAAACACCTTTTGGACTGTTCACTCATCCAATTTGTCCCCTGTTACGGCTCTGCAGATCCTAGGTGATCCCCATTGATCCTCTCCAGATGGTTTATGGGCAGGTAATCATTTCCCAAGTTGCTGACCTTTTCCAAGTCCAGACGCAACTTGGGGATTTCCCCTTGTCCACTCAAAGGACTTTTTGGGGACGTGGATCCATATTCATGCGGTCCGCTCCTTGTGCCTATACAATACAAAGCCGGCCGATGGCTCCTTATGAGTCGACCCTATCACGGTGATGTTGATGCGAACCCATATAGGCCTCGGCCGTATATGGAGTCGATGGTTTTACAAGGTGCCCTGTACGCTCGGCCTTTCCCGCATATGGAGTGTCAGGCGACGATAGCTATTTGAAGTGGCTTAACGTAGGGCCACGTGGAGCAAGATCATTGTCCGACATGTCAGCACACATTTTCCCACACAACAGCTTCCCCCCAGGTCGGGGCTTTCCGTTGGACTGCCTCGAGCTAGGTTTGGATTTGCCCTGGCACTCCTTTTTGTCTGCTTCGAGCGTGGGAGGCTAATTCTGAGCCTTTCTTGCAATGATGGCCCTAGCATTCGAACAATCCCTCGAGAAGTGTAAACATCGCGTCAGTCCAATTACCTTGCTAATGTGGCCATTTTTTCAAACGGATGAACCTGGGCCACTGGATCGTGCCTCTTTAGCTTCCCGCCCTTCCCCCAATCGTCAGATCAAATTCCTGTGCTCCCACTGTTGGATGTGTACGTATCTGATCGGACGGCTGGGAGGCCGAGGGCTTGTGGTTGCTATAAATACCCTCTTCGTGTGTCTGAACCGTTTTGAAACCATTTTTTAAGTAGCCGAAACTCTGCCAAAATTTCTCCAGGATCACTCACATCCTTCTCGCCAACTTGTGATTCTCCAGCAATATTTACCTCAAAAGCTCATGCATCCCTTCTGCTTCTAATTTCTTGGTAAGCGTCTCCCTACCTTCCTATCCATTTCTGGTGTGTTTATCGTACCTGGACTTGTGGTAGATTTCTTGAGTGGTGGGAATGGTTAGAAATGGCATAATAGGGATGTTAGAAGCTGATTTTGACATTGTACGCAATGTTCTAGACTAGCTATGGGAGTTCTGAATTAGCCTGGGCCTATGTTTGGTGCTCTGGGTTAGTTTGAATGGTCGTCATTTAGCTTGAATAGTCTCCGGCTAGTTCATATCTAGGCCTGAATCATCGTTACTTTCTTGAACCGTCGTCGTTTCAACTTTTTAACTTTTAACCGACCGAGCGTTTTTATCTTTAAGCGCCGAACTATCTTCCTTTTCCCCTATCGACTTAATAGGAACTGACCTTAGGTTTTTCCTTCACAGTAATGGCATCTAGATGGATTAAACGTTGAGGGGGATCATCATCCGTGCCTCTTGTGAGGCTGGATCCAACGCCAGCTGCCGAGCCTTCCTCACATTCTATAGCTAGCGACCCAATCTTGAGGGAGGTCGAGGACTATGTCCCCGATCCATGAAATGATTAGGATAGCATCGACCACCTGATTGAAGGCGAAGCCAAGGAGGAGGGCCCTTTTGTTTCCAATGGCTCCGGCTCCCTAGTTGGCGGCGTCATCGTTGGCTACAGCGACTGACATACTGGTGTCCCTGTGGCATCAGTGGGGGCGGATGAGGATCGTCCACTCTTCACGGCCAACCTTGTGGAGCAGAAGACATGGCAGAAGGATATCGTTCGTGCGTATAAGAAGGGGCGCGTGGATGGCTGATGGTTTGAGTATCTCCTGCCGGATCCCCACTTTAGGGCGGGCCAACCACCCCCGGGTTATATGTTTGTATATACCCGGGCCTTCACAGCGGGGATGACACTTCCCATACACCCGTTTGTGAAGTCCTTATGTAATTTCCACAGCATCTTTCCTACACAACTGGCCCTAAATTTTTGGTACATTTTTGCCAGTATATGGGTTCTTTGGGACTAAAGGTTTCACGTAGATCTGCCTTTGGATGAGTTCCTTTATGTATATAAACTCTGCCAGGTCCCCAAGTATGACGGCTGGTATTTCTTGGGTAGTTACGGGCGATCCAAGCCCATCTTAGCAAAACTAATAACGGGGTTGCCCTTGTCGTCTCATGCCTAGAAGCTGATGTTTTTTTTAGTCAAGGGTATGTTCGACGTTCACCCGGCTGATAGGCTTTTTAAGCGCCTAGGGGCGCAAACGTCGTTTAGGACGCTGAGTGAGTATCCTCAACCATTTGCTATGTAAGTGTCATCGTGTTTTTACACCACTGACTCCATTTTATTCTGTGCAGTTCCTTAGGACCGCCCGCAACTATCCAGGAATCCTCTTGCAAGGGTGAAGCAAGCCTTCAGCTTCCCGGAAACCCATCATCACGTCGGCATTTTGTTGACGCGGGACAACTTGGAAAGTTCTGCCCTTCTGCTCTCACTTCCTCATCCTACCAACACCGACGAGGTCAATGATTTCTTCCACTTCACAGCCGGAGGTTAGTTCTTTCTTCCTGACCCTCGATTTCTCATTATATGTCGCCCTTCTGAATTCTTATCTTTAATTGTGGTACAGAGATGAAAACCTTGCAGCTGTGCGTTCTTGGTGACAAGGGGTGCTCAAAGAAGCAGAGGCCTTGCGAGAGGCCGAGCGAAACCACTGAAGATAGCGTCCCGCCTCAGCCTGCGGCTGAATGCTCAAGTACTCGGGAGACTCTAAGGCCTAAGAGGCCTTGGCCGGCTGAAAGGTCGGCGGTGGAAGCTGAGCCTCGCCAGTAATCGATATTACTGATGCTCCCGAGGCCCTTCTGTCTAGAAAATGTCTGCTGCTTCCTGGGGCAAGGGTTCTAGATCCATAGTTTATCGTCGTGGACGTCCCCCTGGCCCAGATTGAGGCGGCGCTGAGTTTATCCCCGCACTTCTCCATCATCTTCTAGGCTCTATATGATTCTTTTTTTTAGCAGGACTGGGAGAGCGCTACTCGAGCTTCTTTGATCGGCCGCACCCGTCAGCCGATCTCTCTTCAGATCCATGTAAGCTTTGTCGTCTATATGCTATATGCATTTTTGTTTCTCTCCCTCTTCTCTTTTTTTTAACAGATTTCTTCTGATTTGGCAACCCCTTTGTCCTCTCTCTCCTCAACTTTATCGATATGGTTAAGGTGGAAGAGAAAAGCAAGGGAATGGACCGCATCGAGGGGCGCCTGAAGGCTCTCCTCCAAAAAGAGAGAGAGATAATAGGGAGGAGACCTCAAAGAAGCTTACCCTCGTCGTTAAGGAGCTAGAGGCGGCGAAAGTTGATTTGGAGAATTCCCAGAAGGAAGTCGAGGTAGCCCGTAAACAAGCTGCTGATGCCAAGGATGTCTTT